ATCCCATTCTTAGAATCTCTAGCTTGCTTCCTTTATTTCTAAGAAAGGACACTAATGTTTCACCACAGATTGTCATTAAAAATTTAGACGAGTTGAGAAAATAATAGAAATGCCAATCTGAATCCAGCTATAGTTTCTTCTCTCTAAGTGCTTTGAAACACAATTTTGAAATTTTAGAATAATCAAACTTTCTCTCCAAGCTTTAACTGTAGCAGTAAAGAATCTCACATTCACATGCAGAAAGATAAATCTGAACCTCCACCTCTCACCATTGACAAAAAACAACTCTAAGTGGATAATAAATCTAAGCGTAAGACCTCAAACATTAAAAGTCCTGCTTTTTTTTAAATCTGGGAGACATTGGGGTAGGGAAAAACTTCTTAAATAAGACCCTAAAGCACAGTCAATAATCCCAAAAATAGACAACTGGGATTACATCAGGTTGAAAAGTTTATGCATGGCAAAAGACACAGTAATTAGTGTAAATCGACAGCCCTCAGAATGGGAAAATATTTTTGTAAACTTTGTGTCAGATAAGGAACTGATAATCAGAATACACAGGGAACTCAAGCAGCTTCCCAACAAAAGATGATCAACCATATTAAAAGCTGGGAAAATGAGTTGAAAAGACCACTTTCTAAGGAAGGCATATGAATAGCAAAAAGGCATATGAAAATATGCTCAACATCCCTTATAATAAGGGAGATGAAGATCAAAACCACAATGTTATACCACCTAACCCAAGTCAGAATGACTAAGATTTAAAAAACAAAATATGATAAGTGCTGGCAAGAGGTGTGGTGAAAGTTGAACAATCCTACACTGCTGCTGGGAATCTCAATTGGTCCAGCCACTATGAAGAACAATATTGAGATTCTTCAAAGATCTACAAATAGAACTACCATGTGATCCAGCAATTTCACTCCTCGGTATCTACCCAAATGACAGAAGAATCCTTAGTCAGAAAAGTGCTTGCACATTGATATTTATTGCAGCACTATTCACAATCACTAAGACATAGAATCAACCCAAATGCCCATGAACAGATGAATGGATTGAAAAAGTGTGACACATAGGCTTTATGGAATACTACTCACCCGTAAGAAATAATACAACTCTGGCTTTTGACAGAAAGTGGATGAATATGGAAGATTTACTGCTGAGTGAAGCAAGCCAGGAAAGGAGAGACATTGTATGGCTCCACTTAATATATACTGAGTGTTTGCACTCTATAGCCGAAACTGAATGACTAGAGGATATAGAAACAGAGAAAATGATTATAAATACCAGATTCAGTGTGGGAAGAGGATGGGTGAATGAAGAGAGTCTGAGGAAGGACACTAGTGTGTGTGTGTGTGTGTGTGTGTGTGTGTGTGTATATATATATATATATATATATTTATATTTATATTTATATATATATATGAATCTTGGGACCAGCAGTTGGCATAATGGCTATGTCACTGACTGGACTCCATATAGTAGACCATAGTTCGAGTCCCCAACTTGGTGGCTTAAACTCAGGCTGGGTGCGTGTGTATACGTGCCCAAGATCCCAAGAGAAGAGTTGAGGAGAAGGGATTGTGGTGTTGCCATCCACCCTGTGGGATGACTTCTCGCTTTCTGTCTCTCTCTGTCTTTCTGGCAAGCACACGCGCCCTATAGCAAAGACCTCTTCAAAAAAAAAAAAAAAAGAATTTCATCACTTGTAAAACAAATTACTCAGATTGCAATTTTGTAAATGTATTAATAACTGTTTTCTTTCACATTTTCAATTCCAAGTAAGAATGTATGCAGGAATGGTAATTGAAACTTTGATCTTACTAGACATATCTTCTGAAGAGATCTGATAAGACATTACCGGCATGTAATAAGGGCTGGACAGCACTGCAAGAGTAATATAATGCTCTGTGAGGCTGACCCACATTGGATGGTTCTAGGTTCTTCTCTGAAGACTTCCCTGAACACACTGGGTACATGAATGCCAATGATCCATGGCTGGTTGAAGCTGAGGATGGATAGTAATGTGAATACCCTATTAGTGGTGCCCATCTCTCTCACTCTCCTCCTCCCTCCACTTATCTCTCTCTCTCTCTCTCTTTCTCTTGCTTATGGAAGAAATAAATCAATAAAAATTAAATATGTGTGTATAATTAACATATAATAAAGCAGTATTATGAGATAGTTTACTTTCAGACTTATTAAAGGTGACTATTTTTATTTGTCTCATTAGATATAAAGACAGAAGCACACATGCTGTGATTTCCCTCTTAGTCTTTCTCAAACAGCCAGGATCACAGGTATGTGAGTACACTCCTGATATGTAGGTCAACCTGGGAACTGGCAGACAAATTTCACATGGTTTCCAGATTACAGAATGTTGTGCTATTGCTACACCATAAAAGCTGGATAGACCTTAAAGACGACCTTTCACATCTGCAAATCTTGTCCATTAAAAGTATAGGTAAAATAGCTCTTCCATTTGTATCTTTCATGTTAAATTCTTAAAAGGTGATTAAGTTTGTAATATTTACTTTCAAAGAAACTTTCTGATAAAAAAATTAATTTAAAACCTTGATATGGTGCCAATATTTATCTGTTGACATTGATATTGCCATTATAAAGTGCATATGTTAGTTCTAGGGATATAATAATTATATAATAGCTACTACTATTATTTATATTATTTAATCTCTATAGTCATTAGCAGTTTTAAATAAAATGATATTTTTGTTTCTTTCAGATATTGGCAATATTCTAGACATATCTAGAATACTAGAGATTATTCACTTTAATATTTATTTTTCTAATTTAATTGTTGATATTAGATGGAAGTCTAATAAGAATTATATCGTGACTTGATGGTCAAATAGAAGTACTTCTTTCTCCATGAATAAATGGTCCTAAACTTCTCATTATACTGTTCCTTACTTTCTAACTCTGATCAAACTAATAATTCAGAGCTACAAAAATGGTAGTACTCTGTATCCAAATATCTCCTGAACAGTAAAAGTCAGATACAGCTAATTTAATTTAGAATTATTTTTATAAAAATAAAGTGAGCATTTTTAAAAGAATTATTTATTTATTTAATTGTATTTGTTATTATCATCATTATTTTTTTTAATTTGACTAGTGAAAGACAGGGAGAGAGAGTAAAAGGGAAAGGGAGAAAGTAGGCCGCCAGGTCTGGGACTCAAATGCAGTCAGCCATGTGAGAATCCAGGGCCCCTAACCACAACACCAGCACCCCTTCTGCTCCACATCACTTGCCGGCCCCAAAAGTGAGCAATTTTTAATGCTTTCCTTCTCTATCTCTGGTCATATTAAAAAATAGTAATAATAAATAAAATTATACGAAAATACTTCCTAAAAAAATGTCAGATTCTTCCCATCTTTATTTCTTTGTACATGCTATTTCTCCCATATCCTTCTATGACTTGCCCTGCATACTACCTTTCTTCACCACAAATTTAAATCTTATCTTTACAAGAAGAACCAACTCAAAGGTCACAGCTTACAAGAAAGGCAATATAGTGTATTCTGGATGGAAAATTTCATTTTGTATGTGTGGGGACATGCGCTGAGCAAACACCACATGCTCTTTTGGGGTTTGGCAGAACCTTATAACTTGTCTTTCCCTGATCTTGGCTGCAGACAGAGCAAGGGTAGAAATTACTAGGGGCGTTCCAACAGACACACCTAACAGCTAGTTCTCTGCATTAGAAAGGAAGATGAGATTTACTCTAGATGGGATTACCACCAAGGGATACACCTTGCCCCGGGTATGACTAATCCCTTATAGATTTGTTAACTG